AACCCCAACAAACCTCAACCCAATGAAGGGAACACCAGAAGAGCAGACAGGCTCTGAGCTTCCCTTGCTCAGCATGGGAAGTTCTCATCTTAACCCCAATTCCAGTCCCTTTTATGACTCACTGGGAAGGAGCCCTGTTACTCCCTGTCCAAGGGTGAGGGAATCCTGGCAGGGATTGCTCACGCCTTTGAAAGTTAAAAGAAGATACGCAGAGCTTCAGGCAGAAGAGACATCCTTTATTCACTGACTCTCTAGGTACCACCCGCCTGGTACAATGGCCCGGTTTTATACTACACAGAGACAAAGGTGGCACGCAGCCAAGGCACTTATATAAGAATATACATAAACAGGATGCACGGTGCCTGCGCTTGTCCCGCCCCCTCGACCCAGCAGGTCGTCGTCCCTCCTGATGGCCAGGTGAGGGAGCCTGACTGACCCTGCATTCCTCCTACATTCAGTTTGTTGAGGCAGTCACAAAGACTCACCCAAGTTCAAGGGGGAGGCACACAGAGCCCGCCTTTTGACAGGAGGAGTAGCAAAGAGTTTGTGGACATATTTTTAAAGGGCCATAGTTACAAAACAGTGAAGAGTGGCTAATGCTGTGATGGAGACAGTGCAGAGGACTGTGGGACTTCAGCAGGGAACCTGCGGGTGATCAGTGAAGGCTTCCTTAGAGCTACGGCAGAACAAAGCTCAAACATAAACAGTCCTGGGGAATCCCTATGAATTTGGCAAAATCCCTACTATAAATTTAGTTTTCCAAAATGAAATTTTATCTTTGCTTACTGCAAGTACAATCTATCCCCATGACCACACCCTCCAAAAAAGGAAAAAAGTAAGAAGACCAACAAGCAAAAAGACTTAAATACACCCCTAATTCTGCCCACCAACCGGAGACAAGCCCTCCCAACTCCTTGCTAAAACTTTTCCAGATTGGCATACATGGGACTAGAACAAAGAAATAGAATGTGATGCCATTAGAAACTGACCCCTCATGACCATCTTTCCTTAACAAGAACTACATTGATTTCTACAGTCTCACTTTACATGGCTGTGTCGTAGTTAATTTAGCCAATGCCCTTTTGCTGGATGCTTTCGGCTGGGTCCCCCTCCTCCCTTGCCTATTTCACACAGTGCAGCATTTGTACACTGACCTAATTATGTACTTAGGGTCAAGTTCCAGAGGTAGAATTGCTAGGTGACCGGGCATCAGGTGTTTAATGATTTGCAAAGTTGCCTTCCCGAAAATTTACGACCAACATGGTTTGAGAAAGCCTGTTTTCCCAAGGCAGGGTGAGGGTGGGGGTGGGGCTGGTTCTTTTTTAAATAAACAGAGTAAAGTATAAAAAAAGAGATTTTGAATGGCGCCATACGTGGCTTTGACTCCCAGCTCAGCCAGTTTCCAGGTGTGCGATGTTAAGCGAGTGATGTGCCCTCTCTGAGCCTCAGTTTCCTAGTCTGTAAAGCCAGGCCTTCCTAGCAATGAACCTGAGGTCTTTCTGTGGGAAAGGTGCACAGATATTGTTACCTGGGGCCAGGCCAACCTGCCCTCTAATCCTGGGGCAGCAGCAACAATGGGCTTCTAAGAATAGCCCGTGACCCACAGTGTGGCAAGCATGTTCCAACCTCTGTTCCTCCCCTTCCCGTCCTGATCCCAGGAACCTGCCCCAGCCCTCAGGTCTCAGCTACTAAAGGGAGGCGGGCCCAGCCTGCAGTTGCGACAGTCCTGGCCCACGCCACAGGAAACCCAGGATGGGGACCTCCACCAGGACCCTGTGCTTTCTGCTGCTGGGACTACTGCTCACGTCCTTCCCAGGGGCGCTGGGTACCAACCCTGGCCTGGTCGTCAGGATCACAGACAAGGGCCTAGAGTATGGTAAGAAGCTGTGGCTGTCGGCTGGGCTGGCTGGCCTGCTTGGCACCAGGCTGCTCTGGTTATGGCGGGGGCACCGATGGGGCACTTTCCCTCAGGCAGTGTGGCCTTCCCAGCCAGGCTTCCCTGGCTCGGGCTCTGACCTCATCACCCAGCCACTGGGCCACTTGGGCACTTACATGTCTTAGCTGGGCTCCCACCAACCAACAGAGACAAGGATTTGGGTGCAAGCAGCTGATTTGGGAGATGATTCCAGAACACACCACAGGATAAAGGGACGGCAGCCAGGGAGTGGGGTGTGTCATTAAACCAGCTACCACCCAGGGACTAGGACAATTCCATTGAGAACATTCTTGGTAACGTTAGGAAATATATGCCTTAAAATTGGAAGTCAGAGTGGTAGTTACCTCCGGAGGACGCCAGGAAGACACTACATCTAGATCTGGGTGGTGGTTAGGTGGATGTATAAACACTTTTAAATTAACCTAGCAACACCTTAAAAGTGGTGCCCTTTGGGTGCTTTGCGTATGTTATATCTCCATTTTAAAGAACGGGCAAAAATGAGACTATTTTTTAAAAGATGCTGAAGTAACGCCTCAGAATTGACCCACCCAAGAGGCAATGAACCTGGGATATTTATACACCTCTCCCCACAGTAATTGATCGGGGGCTGCTCCTCACATTCTTAGAGGCTCAGTTGCCTTATCTATTAAATGGGGGTCATAACATTCCCTTGGGTCGGGTGGTTTGGAGCCCAGACTGGCTGGGGACAGAGACAGCGAAATCAGGGAAGCCTTCCCGGGCGAGGTGAGGTGGAGTAGAAAAGATCCGTGGGAATTAGCCAGATACAAGAGGGTGGCATTCTGGCAGAGGGGATGGCACATGCCTTTGTTAGAGGGGGGAGTGCACGTGAGAAAGACATGGGAGGGGACACATGCCCTCCTTGTGGGCAGGAACCTGACTCCCTCACATCTCAGGACCAACAGAAGGTCCTAGGTACATGCTGTTTACATTGAAACGCTAAGGCAAGCAAAATTTGCCTTTCGCGCTTCTCCATGTGTGAATGCACCGTGTTTATTTAACCGATCCTCTCGAGTTGGACATTTGGTCCTTTACATATTTTTTTNGTGTGTGTGTGTGTGCGTGTGTGCAGCTCTACAGGTGATAGGGCTGGGAGAGGGGACTGCCATCAATGCCAAACCCTCAAATACAAAGCATCCTACGGGATCCAGAACCGCAGGTCTTCATAGCATCGTTCTCTTCCAGCAAGAACTGATGTTCTCAGGAGTGTGCGCAATGTTAGGGAAGACTGTGCTGAAAATAAAAATGAGCAGAGTTATCAACTTGCAGAGCTTGGCGTGAACTCGGAGCTCATTTAGTCCTTGTTCTCAAAGCACAGTCCAACATCAGCACCGCCTGGGAGCTTGCTAGAAATGCAGAGTCTCCGCTCCCCAAGAAACCTGATGAATCAGAATTTGCATTTAAATAAGGCCCGTGGTATATATACATACACACACCACAACATTCTTTCTCCATTCATCCACCGATGGACACTTAGGTTGTTTCTATGTCTTGGCTGTTATGAATAATGCTGCAATGAACATGGGAGTGCAGATATCCTGATAATGAAACAATATCCTGTTTTCGTTTCCTTTGGGTATATACCCAGAAGTGGAATTGCTGGATCATAGGGTAGTTCTGTTTTTAGTTTTTTGAGGAACCTCCATATTATTTCCATAGTAGCCACATTGATTTCCATTTCCACCAATGGTATAGAAGGGTTCCCTTATCTCCACATCCAGAAATTGGGGTACGTGTATACAATGGAATATTATTCAGCCATGAGAAAGAAGGAAGCCCTGCCATTTGTGACAACATGGGTGAAACTTGAAGGCATTATGTTAAGTGAAATAAGTCAGACAGAGAAAGACAAGCACTGTATGATCTCACCTATATGTGGAATCTACCAAAACCAAACTCATAAAAACAGCATAGAATGGTAATTATCAGAGACTGGGGGGTGGAGGAATTCAGATGTTGTTTAAGGGAACCAACTTAGAGTTAGTAGATAAATAAATCCTGGAGATCTAATGCACAGCAGAGTGGTGAGAGACAACAATACTGCATTATAAATTTCACAGTTGCTAAGAGACTAGGTCTTAATTGTTCCCACCAAAAAAAAGAAATAATAATTATGTGACATGCTAGAGGTGTCAGCCACCACTCCAGTGGTCATCCTATTGCAATACATAAAAGCATCTAATCAACACCTTGTACACCTTAAATGCATATGTCAATTATATCTCAATAAAAATAAATTTATAAATGGATAAATAAACAAGGCCACTGGATGATTTGAGAAACACCATCCTGGTCCAACACCTTCATCTATATTTGGAGGGAAAGTGAGGATCAGAGAGGGCCATGGTTTGCCCCGTGTCACACAGCCTATCAGGAGTGGAGCCTAGACAAGGACCCAGGCTTCCTTGCTGCCAGTCCTTCCCCTTTGATGGCTCTGTGTTTCAGCACACGCTGCTCCCATCCCCTGGACTGCCCTTCATTCTCTCCTCCGCAAAACCTCCATGTGATTTTCAAGATTCAGCCTGATGTCACCTCTCCACAAAGCCTTCCTCAATGTCCCCCAGAGGCTCCCTTGGTGGCAGAGCATGAGTTGCTGTGTATTTTTAGTTCTCTCCGTCTCAGTCTACTGTACCCACATAAGACCTGTTCAGGCTTTGGAAATGAAATCAGATCCCTCCACATGAGGCAGGCATTTGCAACCAAAGATCAATGATGCAGAAGAAATGCTAATTGTGCCAATCAGGGTCCAGGCAGGAAAACAGAATCCAGCTCAGATGTTTCGCAGGATTCTAATGAAGGGGCTGTTTATAGAGCTGGGGGACAGGCTTAAGGAAACAGGCAAAGGATGTCGAAGCCACAGAAACTAGCATCCTCAGCCTTGAACTTGAAAATCAAAGAAAGGAGCCGGTTATCCAAGCCCAGTGAGGGCTGGAGCCCCGGTGAGGGATTCAGGAGGAGCACAGCTACCACTGGAACTGAGAAGCAAAGCGAGGGAGCAGAGGAGAAGTGCCCTGACCCCTCTCTCTTCCTGATCTCTGACCTCCTGCTCCATTGCCCTTTAGCTGAGCAGAACTTCAGATGGGGAAACTGAGTCACAGAGTGCCCAAGGTCATGGAGTGGGCAAGTCAGGGTTCAAACCTAGGCCATCTGGCCCCAGAGCCCATGCCCTTAACCTTACACTGTTTTCTGCTTTATGGACATTCACCCTTTTGACAATTCTTTACTATGTGCCGCCCAGTATTCCAGGCACTGTGGTTTCCAAAATTCTGGGCTTTCCCAGAATTCTTTTCCACCAACACTTTTGTAATCAGAGCACAATAAATATTGTTCTTGTTGAACATTTTCACAACTGTAGGGTTTGATGGGAGCAGGAGCGGCAGAAG